TTCATAAATTAACAATAATGAGGCCCAAAATGAAAAAATTGTTGAATAAATAGCAAAAGAAAGAAATCTTATGCAATAAATTACTCTCTTCTCCATGAGAATTCATTCATTACTTACTAATAGAAAATAAATAATAATAACGGAACAAGTGAGTAACTACAAATGGGAAGGGAATTGGGCTTTTATGCATATCTCAATGCGAACTCTTTTATAATACTCCTTTCGAATAAGGTAAATTTTTTACGTAAATAAAAGAGCTAAAAATCAAAGATACAAAATTACCAATAGCCAAATACCACACTACACACTTTATTTTGGAGAAACGGGGATTCCCTCCATCGAATAGGATTTCATCATCTTTTGGGAGGGAATGCTGTTAGGTAGGTTTGAATGGCGGTAAGTGTCAAACCAAAGGCTATAACAACGGATGCAATGAAGGTGCAAGGACTTCGAAACAAACTTGCGGACATTCGGCTATCCTATCCATTTCTTGATTGTATCTTTATAATGTAATTCAATATGCTATCTAACATCATTATAGGTGTAATGGTCGGGTAGCAGATGCTTGGCCATCTCATTGATTAGATCCGGGACTTGTTGGTCACGTCCGAGATTATTGACTAGTATGCCTTCTAATTGCAAAACTCACTACATCAAAAAAAGACATTGCGAGTGATTTTTTCTCTCGTATAACCGCCTCTACAAAGTCTAGAGGTGGTTTTATAGACCGTCTCAAAGCTGCATGCAATGCTGCCGTCTCTACATTGTTGAGGCGGTTTTTCAACGGTTGGGGAATTGTGAAGCGATTTTTTTTAGGCGACTAGAACGACCTTAAATTGATTTTTTGAGGTGGTGACGACCTCTTCTTTAATACCAATTGTGTCTTTTATAATTTTTTGATACGTAATTTATGCGAGTGGTTGATAACTCGCCTTTACGTTCTCGAATTTTTTCAAAATTTAGCATGAAATGTTTAGGGTGGTTTAATTTTAAAATTTATAGAGATAGTTACAACCTTCTCAAATTTTAGAATTATAGAGCTAGTTAAGTAACCACCTTTAGCTTTATAGTTTTATTTCGCCTTCAAATGCAATTATTTACTCCATTTTTTGGTCAAAAAATAAATAAATCAAAAAAATTACATCCGGTTGAATGCAAATAAAAAAAAATTATATAGCTTACATGATATTCTTAAATTTGTAATTTTCAAATTCTAAGTACATAAAGTCTTGAAACATCCACAAGAGAAAAAAAACTAAAAGATTAAACACTTATTTGAAATACATAAACAAAGTTCCTAATATGTTTTAAAATAAGTAGTTGATTTGACAAAATAATAATAATAATAATAACTCATGTTTTTATAAATTAGGAAGAACTAAAAAAAAAAAAAAGGGATTGATATACCCTTATTATATATCTAACTAACGTCATAATGCTAATTGCTCTCAAGTCTCAGGCACTAGTTCACTGCTAAAGAACCAACTTACCTGCCGCGTATGAAATGTTCTCTAATATAGCTTTCTAATCAACCATTTCTCTCCCACATGATCATGGTGCTTATAATAAATACAGTTTGATAACAAGTACTTACCTACGACATATGAAATAACTTTTAATTTGAATAATGGTGCATCAGCCTCACTTTTCAATTTGATAACAGGTATACATTCTGAAACGAGTTTTTATCAATTGAGATTAAGCTTTCTTTTATATCTTGTCGAAGCATTATTTACATTGAAACTAATGCATACATTCACCATATATATTTTATCCCAATGTTACTAAAGTATTCCATTTTATCCCCAGTTGCCCCATCTTTGAGTCATCATGATGATGCTAACAGAGAAAATGGTAAGGTGATGTACCTACAAGCCTCTTTGAGCATACAAGCACCTTTGCATTAGCAAAAGAATTGTTGGCACACTATTCCTTCTCGAGTCATACGACAACTGCATTGATTCTGTGGAAACTCCAAAGACAGTTACACTACATAATGAAAAAATTCAAATCAATAGGCGAAGGGCAAGGCAGCAATCTTTCGAGTTAAATAGTTGGCTGCTTTTAATTGCCATGATGTAAAGCTCAATAAATGGGAACAACTTAACAAACACAACTTCCAGAGATAAAAGGTTTGTCAAGCTACTTATTGTTAGAAAATTTTACTTAAAGGTGCCATAGGTGTTTATTTAGACTAGTAGTGAAACAGAACAACCAACATTTTAAATCCTAGCATGAATCCGATTATGTGGGAAATTTATGAATAAACACACACACAACTTCAATTTCACACACAGAGAGACACAATTTCAACCACAATTAGGGCACCAGTACAAGTGATCAAGCAGGGGATGGGCATTAGCTCCTTTGTTATGGTCAAGTTATGAATAACAATGGTTTTCTAATTTCTATTACTACCCGGAAACAAAAAGAATTTAGTTCTACAACAAAGAGGGAAACAAGACTTCCATCTGCAAAGATTAAAGATTAAAGACAAATAAATCCATGAAAGAAACAAATTAATACACACAGTTGAATTAAAGTAGAGAAACTCACATTGGTTTTAGCATGAATCAAACAGAATTGGAATATCCAATTCAAAAAAAGGGTAAAAAAAAAACAAAAATCTAAAATCAAGAAGTCTTAACCCTTGAACAAAACTCAAATACCTAATTCTCAAGAGTCCTAAAACATAGAACTTGAAAAATAACTCAAAACCCCATTCAAAGCAAAAATTTCTTAAACAAACAAAAAAGTTCCTCTTTTATTGCTTACCTGGGTTCTGCTATGGTACCCAGCAATCTTGTCAACATAAAACAATCTAGCATCAAACACTTCTTAAGCTAATGTTGTGTGGCAAGAAATCGTTATTTATGAAGGATTCTAGTCATGCCTAGTTAAATAGAAAGAGAGAAGAATATGAGGAGGAGAAGAAAACCCCAAAGAGAAAGACAATGAAGCGTCTTTCTCCTTTTTAGAACCTATATATATATATGAGTGCCCTGGCTGCTTAAAACGTGGGGTGGGGTGATTTTATCAACCGCTGTATATTTTTTTAGGTAAGTTAAAAACTACTTAATTTGAGGATGGTTTTCTTGACCACCCTAGATATTCTGCCTCTAGGGTACTTTTTGGTGTAGTGACTTTCACATATTCAGCATCTTGTATTAGAGAAACCAAGAAGCAGAAGCAAGAAGTGACCCAAAGTTCACCAGATGTTCACCTGATGTACCAAAATGCCTTTCATACTCTTATCAAATTTAAGAGCAACGATTCATATGAGTTATCTATGGTGAAACGAGTGCGTTCGAGTATGCCAACAAAGAATGTTGATTTGAACTTGACATCCGTGAAAGTATTAGAACTGTTTGGCCTGAGTCAGATTCCTCTCGTTTTAGGTTCTTGGCGGAATGATTCTCATATGAAGCTCTACTTTGAGGACGATCAATCACTTTCTTTTTGTTGATCAGTTTTCTATGAAAAAGTTCAAGGAGGTGAGCAGGCTGATCTTCAATTTCTCTCTCGCTCGACTCTTGTATGGGAGTGTGGAGACCAAATATGACTGCCAACAAACTTCACTATCAATTCCTTGAACGAACCTTGTTGAGGAGGAACAGCTCGAACGTAATCAAAGAAATTGTTGATCAATTACATCCCTTCTCCTTTTCCTTTGAACCTCAAGCTCAACAATAACTGAAGGAAAGGGAAAGCGAATTGGTTCTAGTTCTAGCAATAATAAGTCTCGTTTAACAGAATATGCATCCTCAGTACGAATCATCTTCAGATTTTCAGGCTGAAGTTAAAAAGAGAAGAGGAATTGGATGATGAAGCAGCCATCAAGAAAAAACCATACTTGTGAACTCTTCGTTGCTGATATGTAAGTAGCTGCCACCTTGTTATACAGTGACTTCAATGGATATTCCACTATCTTGGACGAACTGCCATGACATTGTATGCTTGAACTCATTCTCTAGACAACTAATGGGAAGTATTCCTGACAGTGAAGAAAGTTAACCCGCGGAATTATTGGTCCTTCGTGTTGGCTTTTTCCAGTCTCTCCCACCTTATTCATAACAGATCTCGGCCATTTATCGCTAGCATCCTTTCGGATCACTATATCCAGAGAATCACCCATATTGATTACAGATATGTAGTTCAAAAAATGGGAGGTTTTTTAAGTTCAAAAGAAACTTGTAGTTATCAACAAGGATCTTATCTTACTTGGGATGAAGCATAGTAAGATGCGTTTTTCCCTTCATCTAATGTTTAAAGTGTTAATGTTGGATTGGCTCCCTAAAAAATATTATATAATTAACACTAATTTCAACTACTTTGTGAAATCAATTTGCCCTTCTATATAGCATAGGGGAATTCGAAGCAAAGAATGAACCCTATTCCGAAATCTAATTTTGCCCATGAACAAGTTATCTCACTTCTGATTTGCAGCACTTTCAAATTCAAGCAATGGTTAACTTTGGTACCAGGGTCAGATTCAAGATTAATGGCTTTGCTATTTGGTGTGAGCGATATGTATAACTAGTCCCTATGCCTGACCAAAAGAACCCCAGGAGAATTTCTTTCCAAACTTGACAGCTGACCCCTTGGCATCACCCAATAAAAGAGTGCTACTGGAATTTCATAAAACTAGTTCCGACTTTTATGTCACTATAGCATCAATCACAAGACCAAGTGCAAATGAATGCTTTTCAGTAAAACAGTAAATTGCATGCAAAAAGATTCTCTTGAATTGGCAATGCAAGAACAACATTGACGCTTTATAATAGTCTAGATGTTTTCGCTTGGACATAAGCAAGAAAACTAATTGCCAAGAGCTCATCCATTCAATTTAAAAGATGAAGACATATAGTGATCATCCCTAACTACTCAAGAGTTGATATATATAGATAGATAGATAGATAGAAACTGAATATATTGAAAGGAAATTTCTGTTGCCACTGTCCTAGCTTATGACAGAAGAAATGAAATTAAAATTATGGATCTTAGCTCTGGGAAAGTTCTCGGATGCGCTTTGCAGCAGCAACAACAACATTCAATAGGGTTCCACGAAATCCACCCTTCTCCAATTCATGAATACCAGTAATAGTTGTTCCCCCAGGTGATGTAACATCATCTTTAAGCTGACCAGGATGCTTCCCAGTTTTATTGGCCATAGATGCTGCCCCTAGAACCTGCAGAAGAAACAACAAAATTCAACCACCCCATGCAACATACTAAATGATGACTGCAGATATCCTGATGATTTGAGGTTCCTAAGAGAATTAAATACCCCACAGATAATTCTCATGACCACTCCAAACGCTGCCCAAAACAGTAGGCACACTGCCTCTACTTTCATTTGAGGTACAAGAAGCGGTAGCTTACTAAAATCCACTATATAAGGGATTACTCAGTAATAGTGGATTTACTATTTTTGGTGCCTTAAATAGTTGGTAAATGGAACGAGATTGGATTTATCCTGCACATTGTCTAGAGTGGCATGTCTTGTCTTTCAGAACATACAAAAGCCAGATCCTTTTCCATAAACAATAATTTAATAAGTTAATTTCTATTACAACAGGTAATTTCCAAGGAAACATTGTTTTCTTTTTCATTTTCATTCTATGTTTGTATTTTTCATTTTGGCAAATTAAGCATTAGAGTTTTATCGTTGCATCAGCAGAATCTTGATGCAATGTAGAGCTTTAAAACATGAGGAAGGCAAGCTTGCTAATCCTAATACACAGTTACTGCTGTGGTCCAAAAAAACCTCAACAGCTCCAATTTCTTCTCCTTTTTCTGTTCTATTCAGTGGGTTACAGCAAGTGAACTTGTGTAATATGAGACAATTCAAATACTACATTGTATCAATTGTGAACAGTGATTGCAATCCCTATTAAATGACTTACGTTTTGAGAAGCTAGACCCATTGCGAGTTCTCGTGGTAGACCCGCAGCCACTCCTCCATGAGCCAAAGCTTCAATCGCTAGGTATATATAAGCTGGGCCACTTCCACTGATCACGTATGCAGAAAGAGAATTACACTATAGCAAAATGCGATCATGGAATCTCTATTTTATTTAAATAGAAAAGCAAGTATAAAGTCTCTTGCTTTGAGTACCAAACAATTTCAGTAATGAGACAAGGTCAAACATCCAAAATCTTAATAATCCAATGAGTCAAATAGTGTCAATTGTGAGTCATTTAGAGGCTCAAGCCGAAGGGAAATTACCATCCCAAATGATGGTAAACTCAAAAAAAATATGATTGCTATGACTTTGAGAAGCGGTGCTCTCGTGGAGAAATTGGGCAAAAAAATGCCTAAGGTAACCGAAGAAGGAAGATTGGAGCTGGAAGAAGAGAAGGAAAGCATACCAATTGACGGGGCTACATGTAGCCCTAAGGTAAATTCTAACCCTTCTATTCAGTTTTTAACTAATCATACACCATTTTCTAGCGAGTTAGAAAGGCCTAGGAAAGAAGAAATGAAGAAGGAGAAAGAAAAAGAGATATTTGAGTTGTTTAACAAGATTGAGGTGAACATTCCTCTTTTGAAGGCCATTAAACCGAGTGCCTCGGTATGCCAAGTTTTTAAAGAACTTGTGCACAAATAAAAGGAAGCTAGATGTGAATGAAAAGGTAATGATATAGTAGAATGTTTCCATTGTGTTACAAATGAAAATTCCTCCCAAATGTTTGGATCCAAGTATGTTTATGATACCTTGTCAAATTGATAATAATAGAATAGAAAAGGTCATGCTAGATTTAGGGCATCAATCAATGTGATGCCATATTCCGCATATGTTGTACTAAATATAAGATCTTTAAAAGATATCAATGTTATCATCTAATTGGTCGATCGTATTAATGCCTACCTCAAAGGGATAACGGAAGATGTTCTTGTATAGATGGATAGTTTATATTCTCAATTGACTTCTACATCTTAAAGATGGGAGATAAATCCCCTTATAATCTTGCATCTCTTTTGTTAGGTAGACCATTTCTCAAGATGGCGAGGATGAACAACAATGTCCATGAGAGAGCTCTTAGCATGAAATTCGATGGTGAGCTAATTTGATTCAATATCCTCGATGACGTCGATGCTAAGGTGCAAGAAAAGTCAAGTTCAAAGTTGAAGATAAAAGATCCCCCTTGATGGAGAAGGTAATGTTGAGCTAACGATGTTAAACGAAACTGACTTATTAAGAGCTAACCTAATAAATTCCTATAAATTTTGTGTTTTAAGTTAATGTTCAATTTAGTTGTTTTATTTTGCTTTAAATTTTACCCACACTTGATTTGATTGGGGATGTTGTAGCATAAGTACTTTGATGTGTTAAGGGAAGGAAGGAAACACATAGTAGGGTTTTACACAACTTGTACAATTAAACAACATGCCCGTGTGTGTTTATTTAGCTAGAAATTTAAGCGAGAGATTCACATAGGTAGTAGGCGAGGGGATGATTGTTAAAAGCAAATGGCATGCTCATATGCCTAAAAAAGGGTTGAAAATTCAAGAAAGTGAGAGAGGCAACATGAGTAGAAAGTTTCCATATAGTTTGTGCAGAAATTTGGTGTAGTCATATGACTAAGAAAGTGTAATAAAGAATTGGTAGGTAAAAGAAGGCACGAGTAATAGGTTTTCAAATGGTCGTACAGCAATTTGGCATGGTCGTGTGAATCAAATAGAGCATTTCGGATTCTAAAGGAGGAAAAAGGATATGAGCGGGATGTTTTCACATTGTTTGAAGAAGAAATTCCACACGATTGTATGAAATATAAGAGGTTGCACTAGTTGGAAAGAAGAAAAGGCATACTTGGTAGAAAGGAAGAGACATAGTTTACATATGAAATCCATATAAGTGTGTGTCCGTCTAACCCAAAAGTCATGCGGTTTGCCTTTTTCAAAACTTACTCATATATAAACCCAACCCTAGTTTTGTCACTTTATCTTATCTAATTTTAACTGCAGATCGGCACCATTTTTTCTAACTCTCATCTCTTACAATTCTTCATCTCTCTCTCATAAAGATAGCCGACTCTACGCCATTTTACCTCTATAAATTAAACACCACCATCCTATTATTATCCACTAAAAAACCTTACTTTTATCACTCACCCCCAAAGAAACCCCATCTTCACCCACTCAAGCTCAACCAAGGATAACAATGCTCAACCAAAGATAACAATGTCAACCTTTAGAGATAAAGGGAAGCAAGTGGCAGAACCAAAGAAAAGAGCTCATTAGAAAATGATGGCTCAATGGAAAGACTATCCATTCTAATCTAGTATTCCTCCTATTTATCCTAAAATTGAATTTATTAATGATGATCATGAATTCCATTATAATGTCTTAAAGAATAGAAAAAATATTACCTAATAGGTATGTTGATATTCAAGCATTAGAAATTATTGGGTTATTGATTGAGGGTAGGGAGATGCTAGATAGTATAAGATGGGATAGGTTGTTAAAAATGAATGCATCCTCTTATAAGGAATTGACTTTAGAGTTACTAAGTTCGTTTTAATTGAAAATGTTAATGAATAGTCGATCACGGGCTTGTAATTTTTTCATATTTAAGATAGCTAATAAGAGGTATAATCATGACATGATGGAAATAATAAACATATTTGGTTAGCCATATGAATATGCAAGGCAACCACTTGTTGGGTTAGAGATGTCCTTTTGTATGGAAATCATAGATTCATAGAAAGAGATGTACAATCCCTCATAATCGAAATCCTAACAATCATAAGCACGACCTTTCAATACATATATCATATTTTGACTTGGACATTGTATGAAAGAGAGAATAGTAATAGTGTGGTAAGTAAATTAGAGTTGGGAATCTTGTTCTTCATCGCCAACAATGCAAAAATGGATTTTGCTTATTTTTTGGCTGAACGCTTCTTGACGGTTAAGAAGTTGAATGAAGATAACATTGTTATTAGTGGATTCATCACCCACCTATATTATTGAGAAGTTGAAGCTATTCAACTAGTGCTATATCATTAACACCAACAAAAGGGCTCGATCGAATGAATCTTGAGAAATTGGTCAAGATTGGATTGCTTGAAAAAGAAAAAGAAAAATACCTCATTTAGCTAACCAAGAGACATCGAAGAGAGGAAGAAAATGATTCAAGTGATAGTAATGGTGAGGAAAGTGATGTAGCCCCACCAATAGTGGAACATGTTCTACAAAAGAACGTCTCGAGTGCCCGATCGGAAAGAGTGGAGCGACTTGCATTATGTTTGGATGACTTTTAACTTAATGTCGGTAGTCAATTTAACCTTTTAGCCAAACGAGTTCAAAATGTGAATAACAACGTTAACAACTGGTTTGACTTGTTGAATGAGAAAATTTAGGTTGTAAACGACAATGTCATAGCTGGATTTCATATGGTCAACACCTAGATTGGCCACTTCTATGTCGCCTTCACGATATATTTTCCACCACCTCTATTCTAAGGGCTTTCATCCAGATTTGCCCTCTTATCCCTTTATCATTTCATGTTCTTTATATTTAATCCACTCTGTAGGACATTGAGGACAATGTCTAATTTAATTGTGGGGGCTTGTTTAGCATTTAGGTTTTTTTTTAATTGTCTTTGTGTTTATTTATGTGTTTATTTTAGGTAATCCCCTCGTAAAAAAATGAAATGAATGCCATGGTTTATTATGATATTCTTCATGATTGATGTTTAATGATAAGTTTGGTGCAATTTGATAAGAAAACTAAAAATATTTAGGATATTATTATTGTAAAATGAAATGATGCGTTTAGTTTTATAACCAACCAAGTTTCAATGAGGTGTTGAGCCTTAAGTAAAATGATGTGTTTGGTTATATAACTAACCAAGTTTTGATGAAACATTAAAATTTAAATGAAATGATGCATTTGATTTTATAACCAACCAAGCTCGACGAAGTAGTAAGACTTAAATAAAACGAGGCATTTAGTCTTGAAATTAGCCAAATTTGATAAGAAAACATGTCCGAAGGAAACAAAGTGACAATTATCAATAACTATTTACACCTAACATTAAATCCTAGGCGAGTTATCAATCGAGAGCTATTTAAAGAAAGGGGATTAACAAACAACAATCAACAAAAAAGACTTTTTTTAACATAAATTTATTCAAGTTTTATAGTTTACCCGGTAACATTTAGTTTTTACATTCCTGCAAGTAGTCGATAGCTTTCATTGCTTTCAATAGTTTCATTATTGTAACATAAAAAATATTAATCATTCATTGATTATGGACAAATGGAGTCGAGTGTTTCGATGACTAATGATATAAGTGTGATATCTTTTGATTTATGATATGTACTTTTTTTTCAATGAGTTTTATCTCTTCTAATTAATTAAATTGTCTTCATCTTCTAAATGTTATTTCTTCTTATTAATAGCATTCCTTTAACTTTGACTTTTTCTTTAAATTGAGTACCTATGAAAAAATCTAGTGGCTTGCTAGACGAAATTGAATCCCATATTATTTCATCGCGAAGTTCTTAGTCATAAATTGAAGTGTCGATATACTCTATTTTGAGACCAAATTCTACGAATATCATCAAAGGGGAAAAAGAATCTTATCTTGCTTGGTAGCGAAGCTTAGATGCTTTTGATAACTTTACTTTATCTAAAGCCAAATGTCATGCATATTTTGAACAAGAGCAAGATGATACTTGAGATAGTTAAAAATGATTTTGTCAATGCGATAGGGATATAAAGTTAAAGATTTTGTTTTGAACAAACAATTGAAGGTAGGGGTGAGCATTATTCGATTAAAACTAAAAAACTAAACCGAACCGAATAAGCAATTTTGGTTCGATTTTATAAAAAAAAAATTGAAAAAATGCCAAAATCGAAAATTGAAATTATTTCTATTCGAGTTAGATTCGATGTTTTTTTTAAAAAAAATTTGAT